GGCACTGTTGCAGATGTCAGCTGCCACCATTTTGCAGTGGAACAAAGGACAGATCCCCCCCAGTGCACATAAGAGGGTGTGTCCTAGAGCAGGGGCAGGGTCTCATCCTGAGGCTCCTCTAACATACTAGAAACACTCCAGGGGCCAGCAAGGCGGGGGGGCCTCAGGACACCTGGCTTCAACCCCGCCCAGGGTGGGGAGGGCTCAAGGCTCCCTGCAGTTCTGCTCCCAGTTTCAGCCCCATGGCCCCTCTGAAACCAGCTTGTCTTCCTCCAGGGGGGCTGCAGACCTCTGGTTGAGAACTGCTGTCCTAGAGGGGGCCCCAGGAAGGGAAAATGGGGAGATTTTTTTTTTTGTCTAAGACAATGGGCGATTGTATAGGGAGGCTCCTATGGGAAAAACCAAAAGCCCTGGGCAGCCCTATAAGCAGTTGGGTGTACCACCCAGCAGTATGGGGAATTAACAGTGTTAGCACATGATTGTCCTTTTGATGGTCACTTGTGCCAATCTGACATCTCTGGAAAGCATTGATATCTGCACTGCATTAACACCAGGTGAAAGGGTACAGGTGTTTGTGCTGCAAAAATACAATCTGTTTTCTAACAAGCCAGGGAAGACACACTTGCTGACTCATAAAATCATTACAGAAGAACCACAGCCACTGACCAGAAGACCCTACAGGGCCACTGGCAAGATGCAGGAATGAATTTGTACAGAAATACAAAGCATGTTCGACCTAGGAGTAATTGAAGTGTCCAACAGCTCTTGGGCATCACATGGCCCTAAGAAAGACAACAGGGCGAGGTTGTGTTGATTGTAGAAAACTCAATGCTGTCACAGTACCAGATGTGTATCCTATGCCTAGAACTGATGATATGCTGGGCTTTTTAAGCAAAGTTAAATCATAGGACTGAAAGGGACCTCAAGAGGACTCCAGGACTCCAAGAGCAAGCATGGGTCCAGCCGGAAGACGGCACTATAAGAGAAGCCCTAATCCATTACACAGAAATCTTGCTGTTGAAACTGAGCACCATTTTAACTAGAATATATATATATAGAATATTAGGGTTGGAAGAGACCTCAGGAGGTCATCTAGTCCAATTCCCTGCTCAAAGCAGGACCAACACCAACTAAATCATCCCAGCCAGGGCTTTGTCAAGCCGGGCCTTAAAAACCTCTAAGGATGGAGATTCCACCACCTCTCTAGGTAACCCATTCCAGTGCTTCACCACCCTCCTAGTGATTCTATATTGAATAAACTCTTTTGTTGTATAAAGTGTAGCCTCAGAGATCCACAGAGGCATTTTTAACATGTAATATCTGTCCGTGGAATTCTTTTAAGGGCTGAGACAAATCCCTTTCCCATGCTTTACAAAGAACCCCAGATTAATGGAGTTCCTCATCATTAACATTACTTCTGGGGGAATTCTGCACCAAAAAATTAAAAATTCTGTGCACAATATTTTAAAATTCTGCATATTTTGTCAAAACAACACAATATAATCACGCCAGTTTCAATTACTTTGGTAATTTAGTTAAACTACAATACAATGAATGGAGAATGGGAGTGGGGAGCATTGGAGGAAATCCCCAAACTCCCTTTGTCTAATAGTAACATGGCTAGATTTGACCGTTTGTTTCTGGTTATTAGTCAACAAATATATGCAGCCATATGCTCAGTATTACATCATAGGCAACTGAAGAGTAAGTGAGGGCTGGGAAATCAAGCTCACAATTTATACTGGCTACTGACCATCTCCGGAAAGGTCAGTAGTAAACAGTTCATGGAGCACATTTTGATAGGAAAATGTTTCAGTCCAAAAATTTAGACCAGTTCTAATCAGTAATCACCTTAAACGTTTATAAGGCCATACTGTCATTTGCAATAAAGCTCCTTTACACAACTCTGGCAATGCTCCTGGGAGAATTCACAAAGAACAATGGGAACAATTCACTATGTAGGCAGGCTGCAACATTCTATTCTGCCTGAGGGGACAGAGCCTGCCCCACACCTACCTCCTCAGAAACATCCCGAAACCCTGCCCCCCTCCATGCCAGGCATCCCACAACAGCGAGCGAGAGGGACAGAGTCTCTCTTGTTTGTGCACATCTGCAGCAGTGATTGATGTCTCCCAACACACGCCTAGTCCTGTCCCCCCTCCACTCCCCAACAGTGATATACCTCTCCGCTGGCTGCTCTGGGCGCCTGAAATGACAAGCCTGCGTTGCCGGGGAGTGGCTTGTGACCGCTCTTGCGGCTTCCCTTTGCTTCCCTGTCAGAAATCATTTTTCTGCAGGGAAGCAAAGAAATCTGCGGGGGACGTGAATTCTGTGCATGCGCAGTGGCACAGAATTCCCCCAGGAGTAATATATAGTGGACAAGGGCCTGGAGTGTTTATGAAGCATTTTTAAAGTTTCCAATAGTTCTGGGGCCTTTGGCAGTCCTAGGGCATCTGGCCAAATTGATGTTAGCAGCTGCCTTAGTTGTAAATACTGTCACTCTGCTGAGGCTGGCAGGTCATAGCATTTCCTTAGCATTAGAAAAGTAACGAAGCCCTCATTGTCTAACTGGGAAAATTCATATGATGCCCCACGTTTGTCCCCACAACTTCTATTGGGAGGCTGTTCCAGAACCTCATCCCTCTGACGGTTAGAAACCTTGTTCTAATTTCCAACCTGAATTTGTACACTGCCAGATATCTCTTTGTTCTTGTGTCAACATTGTCCTTTAGCTTAAAGAGCCCTTCCCCACCTGGTGTTTGCTGCTATAAATATAGCAGGGGGTAATCAGACCCCCTTCTCTACTTTCTTTCTGTTAGACCAGGGGTCTCAAACTCAGATGACCCCGAGGGCCGCATGAGGACTAGTGCATTGGTCCGAGGGCCGCATCACTGAACCCCCCCCATGCTGCCTCTGGCCCCGCCCCCACTCCACCCCTTCCAATTAGGCCCCGCCCCTGCCCCACCCCTTCACTGCCCCATTCCAATCCCTTCCCTGAAGTCCCCATCCCAACGCTGCCCCCAGGGGGTGCAGAAAGGTTGCAGGGTGCAGCGGGGGCTGAGGGCAGGGAGTTGAGGTGCAGGAGGTGTGCAGGGTGCTCAGGGAAGGGAGTTGGTGTGTGGGGTACAAGAGGGGTGCGGCAGGGGTTCAGGGTGCAGGGTGCAGCAGGTGACTCAGGGCAGGGAGTGCAGGAGGGGTACGGGATGTGGCAGGGGGCTCAGGGCAGGGAGTTGGGGTGTGGGATGTGGCGGGGGCTCAGGGCAGGGAGTTGGGGGTGCAGGAGGGGTGTGGGATGTGGCAGGGGGCTCAGGGCAGGGAGTTGGGGGTGCAGGAGGGGTGCAGGATGTGGCAGGGGGCTCAGGGCAGGGAGTTGGGGTGAAGGCGGGGTGTGGGATGTGGTGGGGGCTCAGGGCAGGGAGTTGGGGGTGCAGGAGAGGTTCAGGGTGAGCTCCAGCCTAGTGCCGCTTACCTAGAGCGGCTCCGGGGTGGCAGCGGTGCTCCCTGCCTGCCTTGTCCCCGGCTCCATGCTGCTCTGTTCCAGGAAGCAGCTGGAACCGTGTCCCTGCAGCCCCTGGGGGAGGGGCTCAGGCTTCCCTGCTTGTGCGGCTCTTGCCGCTCTTCTAGGTACCTCCCACGAAGCTCCCATTGGCTGCGGTTCCCTGTTTCCGGCCAGTAGGAGCTGTGGGGGGGGGCGGTGCCTGGCAGGAGGCAATGCTGGCGCCCTCTGCCTCCTCCCGGCCCGAAGGGGCGTGCTGCCGGCTGCTTCAGAGAGCAGCACGGTGCTTGCAGCATCAGGAGGCAATCCCAAGGGTAGGCAGAGGGGCGGGGGGAGCTTGGCGGGCCACACACAAGAGCCCCGCGGGCCGCGTGTTTGAGACCCGTGTTAGACTAAACAAGAGAACAACATATTAGAAACACTTTCCTGAAGGCTACCAAAACAGTAGGATAGCAGGAAAGACTTGGGTCTACCAGAGCAACTAGACTCTTCCCTCCATTCCCCTTTATGAGCACTCCTCCCTCTCAGGGTGACAGAAACCACCATCAGCCTGGAATGGCCCAGCTCCCAGAATCTTGGGATTAGGGGATAATTCAGCTTTCATTTAAAACCCATCAGTTTCGAGCACTGTTTGTTAATGTGACCAGTCAGCCCCAAGAAACCAGGAGGCCAAAGATACCCGTGAGCTCACCAAAAATCTCATGACTTTCAGATGGGACCCACAGCACCACTGCAGTGCTGGCTGCTTCTGTCTGCAGAGAGCCCAACAGTGACTCAGTGGGGTGAGCACCCCTGTTAACAGGATTGGAGTGTTAACACTCAAACTTAGTGCATTGGCACCATTAACTATTTCATCACTAATCATTTTAGGGGGGTAGAAGCAAAGCCCACTGGGGCAGGAATTGGTGGAGGAGGGAAGGAAGAGAATAGCAAAAGGCAACTGCAGCTGTTACAGTAACAGGCCACTGTCACTTCTCTTGGCCAGCTGCACTCCATGGCCACGCTCCCGCCCCGGCATCCCGGACAATGCACTCCAGCTATAGATCAGCTCAGATCCCATCAGCAGAGGCAGTTTATTGTTGAAACACAAATGGAAGACACCCCCATGTGATACTACCGAATACAAAAGATACAGAAAACTCTGAAACCCACCCTGCCCACAGAGTTTAATCTTGGCACATTAGCTATTCCCCTGCCTCCTCTCCCCGGTCCAAACACACACAGCACATCTACTGCTCTGTTTGCAGACTGGAAGGATGGATATACTTGACATTTTTGCTAAGAGATTTAAGTTGCAGTGTTTGCTAAAGCAGGGGTTCTTAACTTTTTTCTTTCTGAGTCCCCCCACCCCCGCTATAAAAACTCCACAGCCCACCTGTGGCACAACTAGTTTTCTGCATATAAAAGCCAGGGCCAGCGTTAGGGGGTAGCAAGCAGCGCATTTGCCTGGGGCCCCATGCCACAGAGATTCCACCGAAGCTAGATGGCTCAGGCTTTGGCTTCAGCCCCTGGTGGCAGGGCTCAGGGCCCCAAGCTTCAGCCCCATGCAGTGGGGCTTTGGCTTTCTGCCCTGGGCCCAAGTGAGTCTAACTGGCACTGTTTGGAGGACCCCTGAAACCTGCTTGCGGCCCCCAAGGGGTCCCCAGACCCCTGGTTGAGAACCACTTTGCTAAAGGAACTGAAATCACCAGTGGAGTGGCCCATGAACAGCACGGACACTCTTTTCCTCAGCTGGTCAGCTCCCAAGAGAAGTTTTCTTTCCACAAAGTGACCTTTGGCCAGAGAGATTCTGCAGCTACGAAGTGTTGGAGTTCTACATGCACAGCTGGGAATTAGAGAGAGATTAAGGGGTGCAGGAGTATTTGACAGCTGTATGAATCTGTCTGTATAAAATCACTTAATCCAACATGCTCATTTGCATTTTATCAATTTCCTCTGGAGTCACCCTGGAGCCATGCACTGAAGGCAGGGATAGTGCATTGCAGGGGGCAGAAACAAGCTGAAGTCCTGTCAATAATAAGTAATGAAGAAATCAGATGCCTGACAGTCAATTCTGGCACAGCCGCACAATCTTCTCCAGATCAGCTCCCTATCAGCCTTCTGCAGTTAGGTCAGAGTTTCGCCCTTTGTTACCTGCCAAAGAAGAGCACAGCCTGCAGTCACCAAGGGCTAGCCAGTCTGCCCACTCAGGGAAAGTTAATGAGCTCCCGTACACTGGGAACTGGGTAAAAGTCATCCCTCACAGCAAGGCTGGGCCCAGGCCAGTGTCACTGATTCACCAAGATCTCAGTTCTATCTCCAGCCCTGTTGGCCAAAACCAATGCCCCAGTGTAAGTACTGCTGGGATGCCCACCAGAGCGTGCAGGGGGTAGGAGCTCCAGGACTATTGTTCAGGAGAAAGGCCTGCACCACCACCCCACAGTAAGAACTAGTGCAGCGGGGCTCTGTGTGGGAGTCCCACACATCCCCCCACTGTGTAAAGAGCAGATTAGCTGGCGGGTGGTGCTGGCACAGCGTTACTGCCTAGCTGAGGGGGGTGGGGAGGATAGCAGGGCAATACCCACTGGAGATGGGGTAAAAGCCGCAGGGGGGCTTGAACAGCAAGGCCCCGGCTGTCCCTGAGCTGCTAAGCGTGGGCTGAGCCCTGCACCGAGCTACTCGCAGGGCAACCCCTCCTCCCACGCCGGGGCTGTCCTCTGGTGCCACCTCCCCTGCTCTACCCCTCACCCTGGCCTCGATGTACTCGATCCGTCGCTCCAGCGCGGTCAACTTCTCGTTAAGGGTGGCGAGCCGGGAGCGACAGGACATGTCTGAGGGAAGAAGGGTCGGGTCGGGTCAGGGGCTGCACCGGGCTCAGGCCCGCGGTACCCGGCCAGGACAGGTACCCCCCCCATCGCCCATGGGGGAGCCCCAACCCCAGAACCCTCCCGAACAGAGCGCGGCGGGGCGGAGCCGGGCGGGGGGGGGGGGTCCAACTGGGGCGAGGTGGAGCCGGAGCCGGCCTAGGCCTGGTTGGGGGGAGGGGGATGCTGGAGCCGGGCCGGGCGCGCACGCACCGAAGGAGTTGAGGAAATCCGCGATCTTCTTGATGGAGCTGGTGATCACTTCGATGTACTCGCGGTTGGCCCAGTCCTGGTGGATCTCGCGCTGCACCGGGTCCTCTTGCAACGACATGGCCGCCGCAGTCACCCCGCGCCCAGCCCCGCCCTCCGCGGCGCCGCCCGCACGCCGTGTCCCCTGCCACACTGCGCATGTGCGGAGTACGGATCGCAAAAGGACACAGGATGAAGCCCCACCTTCGCGAGCCCGAACCGTGGGGAGCCCGCGGAAAGCCCGGATCCGCCCGCCCCAGCGGAGACCCGCCTCGGGCACCCCGCCCTGGGAAGAGCACAGGAGGGCGAGGTTAGCGACGGTCTCTACACCCCTACGGCCACCCCCTCGGGCCCCCAGCCCCCCCCGCAGCCCCCCCACCCCCCGGGCCCCCCCCCCCCCTCTGTAACCATCACAGCCATGGCTGCCCCACACACACATCCAGGCTAAGCTCTGGAAAAGGCATGTTAGTCGGAGCTGTTAGACCCCCAGAGAGCTTTTCCCCCCAAGGAGAGCTTTATGCTGCACCCATACAATACGCTGTGTGACTGATTCCATATGCCCAGGGTAGGGATTTCAGTTTATTCAATGAGTTAGTAAACAAGGCATCTGGCATTAAGCTGTTTTTTGTAATTTACAACTATAACAAGCCTTTCTCTCACCATTAATGAGCACTTTATGTTGCCACTAATGAGGGCATTTGGACTGCTCTCCCATTGATTCTTCTGTCCCAATAAATGGCCAATGCAAGAAGGTAATTCTCACGAGGGCTCCAACGGCTGGACTGTTGAGGGAAGGTGGGTTTTGTGCAAATATTTCATTGATACTGTACATGAACAGGTTCTTTCTGTAAATATCACTTCTCTCACTTTGGCAACTAATCCAAACTTTCAGTGCGTTTCTAGACAGAAAGCCACAGAGTTTCCCCTTGAAATCCACTCCCTAGAGCAGCAGAGAAGGAAAGGAATTCGTATGGAAAAGAGTTTAGGAGAGAGTATCTGGAGGCAAGAACAAATAAAAATAGTTCTAGGTCTGACTTTTTTTCAATATGTCTGGGTGCAAAACTCCCAACCAATATAGACTGCACAACCAACACTAAATGGGGACTAAATACCATCTATAAAGACCTGGCTACAAGTGAACCTTCTTTACTGTTGCACAGTATTAACATCTCATCATGGGCATACAGCCTCCAACCCACAGAGTCTATTCAGCCGTGACAGGTGTGGATTGTTTTGGATAATACCAAGCTTCTATGCTATGGTGAGCTAACAGAATGCTGGGAGGCTGCAAGGTCTACTCAGAGCTCTCTTCATCATCATCATCATCATCATTGTGCTCGGATCCACCCTCGCTCCCTGAAATGTCACCTTCCTCCTGGAAAAGAGAAGAAATATTTATAAAACCAAGGACTGGATGTAACCTTGGGGGCCTGCAGACACAGACTGCATACAAGTCCTCCTAAGTAATCATTGGCAGGCCAGAAATGTCAGTATTCAAACAAAAAAGGGCCTGATTCTTCTCTCGTGTAGGTGTTGTCTGCACTACAGAGCTGAATGATTTGTACTTCATCAGCCATCTTGTACATTTGTTCCATCAACCACTCAGTGCATCTATGCTGCATAGCTTTAAGAAGCCCTGAAATTTCACCCCATATCCAGTCTGCTAGCATGCCAATAGTACTCTGCTGCACTGATCTGAGCCACAAGGTCCTCTGGGACTGTATCTCTGTTTACTGCACCCCATCAGTCCATTCTCAAACATTTTTTGCCAAACATTATAGGATTCCTCTGGTTTTGGAGAATTGTGGGAGCAGAGGTCAAACTCCCATGATTCCTTGTAAGAATCCTATAACTCACCAGCTTGCACAGCATTTCCAAGCTGTTTTAGCAACACAGTGGATACCAAGGAGTGCTGAAATGGCTGCATAGGGCTGAGAGGTGTGTGAGTGGGTGGTGGTACTGACCCAAGGAGGAGAAACTGGATGTGGAAGAGAGAGTGCAAAGAATCCTGAGGGAAGTGTCTTGAGGGGAAAGAGAGCAGAATCTCCTGCCTGATCCTCCAAACCTGCCTATTGTGTAGCTCTGTCCTGCTGTCTCTGACCCTGGAGGACTAGGCACTGCCACACCGACTGGGATAGGGAAGTTAGCTGGCAGAGGAAGAGGTGCTGGGTGGCAACAAGAATGATTAAAGGATTAGAAGACATGCCTTATAGTGACAGACTCAAGGAACTCATTTGAGTTAGCTTAATGAAGAGAAAGTTAAGGGCTGACTTGATCACATTCTATTAGTACCTACATGGGGAACAAATATTTAATAGGCTCTTCAATCTAGGAGAGAAAAGCATAACATGCTCCAATGGCTGGAAGTTGAAGCTAGACAAATTCAGACTAGAAATAAGGTGTACATTTTTAACAGCAAGAGTAATTCATTGTAATTGGAGTCATTCTCCATCAGTGACAATTTTAAACTCAAGATTGGCTGTTTTTTCTAAAAGATCTGCTCTAGGAATTATTGTGTGGCAGTTCCCTGGCCTGTATTTTACAGGAGGTCAGAGTAGATGATCACACTGGCCATGGAATCTATGTTGTCAACAAGGTTTGGTTGGAGCTCATGCCCTGCAGCTTGGGAGGACTGCTTGAGAGCGCTGCTGAGGAGAGTCACTACAGCAAGACACCAGCAAAGGCCTGCCTTCCAGGGGTGGGAGAGAGACAGAGAAACCACTGTTCTAAGCAGCAAGATCACTCAAGCCAAAGGTGGGGAAACAGGCAGATTAAAAACAGAGAGAGAGAGTGTGTGTGTATGTGTAAGAAAACGGTACAAGCTGCTGGTGACTGGGAAAGGGCTCTTAAGGGTGTGGGGCTGTTGGGAGTCTGCACTCCTGCCTACAGAAGCAAGTGGGTGGAGCTACCCACTAGCTGCCTCTGGAAGTATGCTGTAGGGAACAATCCTGCCCTTACCAGCGCAGTAGGAAGTGGGATAAAATGGGACCTAATAAGGCATTTCCAGCTTTCACTTCAATGACTGCCCAGGGGACCCCAGTATTCTTCCCATTCCAATGGACACAAGAGGGAGCTGGAGTGTCTTTGCTTCCCAGTAGCCAGAAAAGGAAATAGTCTGGTTGATTTGGGGTCCCAGTTTTGATTCATCTGGACTTTCTTTAGCTTAACTTCAGTCCAGGATGTACCCCCAGCCTCTGCCCAGCTCATCTGAAGCAAAGCAGAGCACTCCCTATTGATTTACCTACTGTGGCACAGGGCCGTCTCACCCTACCAAGAGGCTGTGCCTCATCTTGAACTCAAAATAGCAAATGTTTAAGAAAAAACTGCATTTGGTGAGAATAGCAACAAGACTGATTCTGCTTGCAGGGCTCAGGTTATTAACTCAGTCAAGAAAACCCAAGGGCTTTGCTGTCTGCATTTTTTTAAGATAGATTTTTTTCAGTAGGCAGCAGGACTCTAATACGGTGAGGAGAAAGTGCTGTCATGGAGCTGAGCAAGTGAGAGAGATGGTCTCTGCTCCTGCCCTGCAGAGAGAGCAGACACAAAGGTCATCACAAGTGTAACTCAACTGAAATACCACCAGGGATGCTCAGGAACCATAAAAGCAATAGGCACTGCTGCCGTGTACAGAAATACCTCAGCAGGATCTTCTCTGGGGAGCTGGGAAACTCCCTCCCCTGGGTCATTCTCTTCAGAATCCTGAGACAGGATCTCTTCTCCCTAAAGTGAACGTGGTAAATACTTTATGAGGCAAATTCATGCATGGAGCAGCAATAGCGACCCCCTGCTGGAACAGAAATGCACTGCATTTGGTTGCAAATAAGATTTCGCTGCAGAAATGAGCTGCCCCCCCCCCACACACACACGTCCTGCTTCACTGCAGTGGGGAAGTAGGGGTGGGGAAAGAAAATGGTCAGGCTTGGCCTCTTTTAAAAAAAAAAAAAAAAAAAAAAATGAAATGAGGCTTGGCAGTTTTGGGGCCCCCAACTGCCCCTTGTCCTTTTTGGAAGTCGAAGTGCCAGCCATCAGAAAGAAGGGAAAAGGCAAGGGGCAGTCAGGGCCCTGAAATGTCAAACATTGCAAAAATAAAAACTGTCCATTCGCTCTTGTCTCTGGACAGCATTTCTCGGTGCACGGGGCCCCAAACAAGCCTGGGCACCAGTTATTCCCCATCCCAGCCTGCAGAACAGCAGTGAAGTGGTGCACAAGGACCTCTGAATTTCATCCAAGTGAGGATCAGTAAAAAATGAATGCTCTCTCAACTTAAAGAACTAGTGCAAAAATATACAGCATCAATTCCACTAAAAATGCACAGATACCCTCTGATATTTCTCTGAACAAGCATGCTTGTAGTGCAGGCAGTTAAACCAAAAGTAACTAATTTTTTAAAATGAATAGGGCCTCACGTGACTCTGGGTTCTTTCTATTTACACTACTGTTGGTGAAGACCAGTTGCAAGGGGAAAGGCTTGTGAGAGCAGTGTCTTTCTGTCACTGACTTCAGTACAAAAAACTGGCAGGAGAATATTAATGTTACAGTGAAGCACTCAGAAGCCAGTAAATACCAAAAAGTTAAGGCTGCCTGTACAATCTTAACTCAAAAACACCAGGGGCAGAGTTATTACATCACAGTTTCTGAATGACTTGGTCACATACTACAGTTCTGCAAGACCGCTGTCTCATTCAGTGCACAGCCAAGAGGGCAGGAGTAAACAGTGAATGACACAGGGGTCTACAGAACTCCTGCCTCATTCGGGGTCAAATTCTATATGCTGACATTATTGGAATTACTCTGGATTTACCCTGGTACAACTCAGATCAGAATCTGGCCCTGACTACATAAGCTAGCTGGTGTTCAGTGAACGAAGCGGAGGGATGCTCACTGAACGATGAGAATAAACATTACTATAATACACTTACAAATAATTCATTTTATTGATTGAAAACATTTACACTTAGAATTTATATTTTAGTTTTTAAGTGTATTTAAGGTGCAGCTCTACTCTGAAAAGCGACCATGCAAGAACGATTCCTTCCTATCTGCAAACTGTACGAGAGGCCGATCTGCTGACTTTGATGACCAAAGTAAATGTATACTTCATCTTACTGATGATGATGATCTAC